GTTCATGTCAATACGCAAAAGCGAGCCCTAGCCGGAGCCGGAGTCGAGGGGCTTGAAGTGTCGGCAAAAAATCGACGGGATGCGATGCATTCAATCAATGCATGGCAGACACAATGCAAAATGCGCTTTTATTGTATTTTAAAACAAATTGAAAAGCCAACAGCCAGCTCACAAAAAACGGGGGAAAATTTTCTGATGCTGGAGTAGAGCACAACCAACTGAATGCTCTAAAAAAAGGCAAACAAAATAAAGGCAAACTTGAAGTGATGATATTTTCGTTGGATTATTCAATATGGGGATGGATCTCCGCAGTTAAATAAAACTGACGTCCATTTCCTCTAATATCAATCTTGTTTTTAAAGAAAATCTAGTGGTCTTTTGTGTTATTGTTCTCGTCCATGTTACCAATGTTATTTCGGGCGACCTCGATCCCTCCTCCATTTTTTATGATGCCATATCATATGATAATCATAATTTATGACTTAATTGTCAGATAATGGAGCAAAGAATTAATAACCATGTTCCCAGGGCATTAAAGACAATCAAACCTCATACATGCCAGTTGAAAACATATCTGGGTTAGGGTATATCTCTACACACATTTAACAGCATAATAACGCGACAAGAAAATTCGCATTGCTGTGTAATAATAAATATTTTGTTTGGCTTTGTTTTTGTGGAGCATTTTTTTGGCGAATGGCACCATTTTTTTGCATTTAATCTGGCTTTGATTTTGCTGTCGCTGCTGTTGCAGCCATGTAAATGGGCTGAAAGGGCGTGGTTTTTGCAGCGGGCCTTCATGCCTGCCTAGTTTTGTGTTTACAGTTTTTACTTTCACTGTCGAATGCAAATTGTCAAGCCAGACAAATGCCGCAAATGTTGTGCCGGGCCAGAGGACTGGCCCCCGAACCGACACCACCACACCACTGGGAATGAATGATCAATGTCGAGCAGTTCGGGAGTTTGACACCAAGGTGGCCGATGGATGTACCTGGCTCGACCCCAGACATCTTTTCACCTGCCTAACGACAATGCCACAAAACGCAGAGTCAACATCATTATGGTGTTGCTGTTATAGCTGCTGATGCTGTTGCTGCTGCTGCTGCTATACCGCCTGATTTCTTTTGACGAAAGCGCAAAAATTTTCCTAATGATGCCGCGCGAATTCAACTGCAACTAACTGTTCGCTTTCCCTCCCCTAAAAGCAACCCCCCACCGGCTGCAGTAATCTGGTCATGGCCAACGTGGATGATTGTTGACTTTTATGATTTCCATTTCTTAGCATTATTATGGACGTGTGGCAAATCAACAGCGGCAAATAGAAAACGCAGCACTAACGCAACAGAGCACATTGGAAAAAATAACTCCCAAAGAGCTAAGCTTAGACAAAGTAGATTAAAAGGGAGTTTTGTGATAAAAAGTAATCAAAAAAATATATATTTTTGGTATTCTATCTGGCCCAAAGAGTATGTAGTTTTTTTCCCATTGAAATAAGCTATCAGAAGACCTACAACATTTTCTTTTTGTGCATTGGCAGTGAGGGGGAAAAATCAATAGAAATCCCCCAATGCATAGACCCAAGCGGATGGAGTGTGTTTGTTGTGGGGGCCCCCATCCCATTCCACTCCATCTCATTCCATGCCATCTCTGCACCGTTCATCTGTTGTGCGTATGCCATAAATCGTAACAATAACTGCTTGCCACTTGGCCAGACAACGAGCAGACACCGAGCTGGAATCAGATTCGTATTCGGAGCTGGACTTGGCTATAATGCCATAGCGCTGCTGCAGAAGGCGGCATACGATTTCACTTGACTGACAAACAGACATAAGCAAAGTGTTTGTTGCTGGCCATATCCCTCAAGTGACTTTCTAAGCGGTGTCCGAATGCCTGCAACATGAAAAATGTGGAGCGAAGGCAGTGCAGCAGCCACAGTAGCCATAGCAATAACAGTTCAATGCTATTATCTGTGGAGTATTGGCATCGAATCCCCCATTTATTGAGATCGGAACTCATAAAATACTGGGGTATATGGTACTGTGGTCCTGCCACTTTACAAGCCACCTGAATCGGTGAAAAAAAAGATATTTAAGTTCGTGGAACCAATTTGGATAAGCGGATTGAAATGGTTTTTTAATATCAGGCATGTTTTTAATGTTTTATCGAAAGCTTATTGATAAGAATCGGTTGGATCGGTTTATCTTTTATCAGTTAAGATATCTATTTAAGACTCAACTAAACAAAGAACTTCTCATGGTATCATATCACTCTTACGTGTTTGATATGGGCCATAAGTTTTAGCACCACCCACCCACCTACCACCCTGCCCATTTGGGCGGACCGCCCCTCAACTTGTGTCCAGGGCTGTGTAGTAGTGCGCTCACAAATATTGTCGCACACAACTCATAAAAAGCCCATTTATAACTGTTAACTTGTACAAAAGTATTTACAGACGATTTAGCAGCTCACAGAATTACAGCCATCGCCACACAATTGCAATTGTTTATTTGTGTTTACTGCCCTGCTCCCGATAGTACCGCCCCCAGCCCACCAGCCCACTAGCCACCCAGCCTTCTTTTCGCAGAAACCATTTCTTCTGCTTTGGCAACTACTCCATCTCCCTTTTGGTAGCAATAAAAAGTGTTGTTATTTGTACAATGTTGTTTGTGAGAGCGGGAGTGTGTTTTTTGTTTTGTTTGCCATTATTGTTGGTATTATTGCAGTTGTTGTTGTTGCTTTTTAGTGGCCAACACAGCTGTTGCTGACACGCAGAATTCAATGCAACAAGGGCCAACAAAAATAATAAAAACCAAAAATGTAGAAAACAAATAAAGCACCAGCCAGCAGCTAGATTCATAGAGAATGCTTTCAAAACGGGCGATTTCAAAGTTTGCTATTATCCCATGAGTGAATGGGCACAAAGAACACATTTTGGCAAGGTGTTAAGTGGTTTGTTCTTCCCCAAAAGAATCAAAAATGAAGCATCCCATACTACACAGTAAGAGAATCCTTTTAATTTTAAAATTTTAAATCGAAAAAAGGGTATTAAATTGTAATTCGTATTTAATAATTAGCTAGAATTAACCAGAGGGCTGGCAAAGCCTTATATTATCTTTCCTAGAAGTATGTAATGCTTTTATTTATTTTTGAACAACAATTACAATATTACAATACAAAGGAAAAGTAAACAAATGCATTTTATCTTTTGGCCAACAGTGTGCAGTGGCGTTTATACATGAGAAAATGGGTTATGAAAAACAATTTGAAAAGGTATTAAATTTATGCCGGCCCCTCCTCTGGGCTGTTGTAAAATTTTATATGCATGGCCACTGTCAGCGGAATTTCTCATATTGATTTTGCTTTAAATAATAAAAACTCTTTTTTTCTTACTTTTGTGTCTCTTTCAGGTTGCAGCGCTTAATGGCCGATGGATAAAGTGAGGTAAGTGAAACAAAAAGCGAAAAAAAACATAGTTTTTTTTATTGGGTCTGCTTATTAAAAATAGCGTCTAAAAAAAGCTTAATGTGCATGGACAGGCTGCAGTTACGAGGCTTGTTGTAGCATTTTTTAAGAATTGGGACAACAAGGCGCATAAATAACCGACATGCCGACAAAAATATAAAAAAAAACGATGAAAATGCCTGTAAAAACTAAGCGAAACTCTACAAGACTGCACTTAGAATAGTAAACAAGCCTAAATGCACTATAAAAAATTTGTAAAATTTCAAGTGTGTTTTATAGATTTGTTAAGAAAAAGGGGCTTAAAATTTAATAAGAAATATTAAGCCAAAAAGAGCAGTGGTTATCAGTGGAACTACTTTTAAAGGTAATCCCCATTTCCGGCAGTGATCTTTTGTTGACTGTAGTGGTGGGAGGTGTTAAGGAACCAGTGTGCGTGTAAAGGAATCGCGGCTAAATACGAGTGCCAAGATGAAACGCATCCCCCTCGTCCCCCCGGCATCCCCTGTCACCTTCAGCGGTCCCCACTCAAACCACAGTGGGAGCAAAAAGAAAGCGTACATACCGGTTTTCCACGGCCCAGAGACAGTACACGGGGACAGGTTTATTTTCCCGTTGGGACTCTGTGACAAATCAAGCGCGAAGCGAGAGCGAAGACAACAACCGCGGCCAGGAGGCAAAAAAACAACATGAGCGCGAAAACGTCAATGGCCAGGAAAATTCTGAGAGGGGGAGTAGTCAGGGGGCAGAGCTACAGCAGAGACGGCAACAGCTGCGTAATGGCAGCAGGAAATTGAAAAAAAGAAAGAAAAACTTGCCGCACTCACCTTTGGGCTGATTCTGCTTCTGTTGCATTTCCTTGTCAGTTCTTGGCGCGTTTTTTTCCAGCAAGGGGTACTCGTAGAAAATATGAGTGCATTTACGACAAAATTTTCATATGATTATTTATGGCTTTAAAAATAATCTTAAAGTTCTAAACTATTTGAATAGATTTAATAAAATTATCTGTTTTTCCTATTGTTTTTTTATTTTTAAGTTTTGTTTTAGATTTAACTTTTAAAAAAGATAATAAATGCATTCCAAATATTTCAAAGCTTAAAAAAGAAAAAAGTATGTAACAAATATTAATGCCTTTAACAATATTATTTATTTGCATTCTGCAACTGACAGACATCCAATTAACTTTTAATTGGCAATATTTTTTGTTTATTTTAGTGGGTATTTTTTATTCGATTTCTTGCAGTATTGCTTTTAGTTAGCTGGAATGCTTTTGACAGTTTTTCCCACCTTGGCCGTCTAGCAACGAGTGCCAAAAGTCAAACACTTTGGCTTGTCTTGGCCGCGATCTTTCGAATTGTGGCTTTGTCAGTGGAGCATTTTGTTTCTTAAGCCTTAAATTCAGTTAGGCTTTTTAAATCCCTCAAAAGCAAAACATTTGAATTCTTTTTTCATAGTAGTATTTATTAAAAGTAAAAAATGACTTAGTTAGTAAAAACAATTATTAATATTAAGATTCAGGAAACTACATTCCCTATCACATTTGGAGGAACTCTGGGCTTCTGAGGAATTTTTCCCCTAGATTATTTTAAATACGCAGTTTTTGTCTCTGTGCTGATATTTGATATCCTAAAGCTTGCCCATTTGCTCGAGATGTTTGCGTTGTCGCTGCTGCTGCTTCTCGAGTTGCCGCTGCATATTGCGCTTCAATCTGTCTCGATATTCCCGCTCCCGGTTGAGGGCGCTGCTCTGCTGGATGCTTGCCTCGGCATCGAAGTCGGGGTCAAAGGCCGACTCCCACTGCCGGCGTTGCTGAAGCTGGATGAGCTCGTTTGTCAACTGCAGCTTGGTGCTGGCAATTCGCATCAGCCGGCGCTTGGGACGCCCCAGCTCCCGGCGGTGCAGATAGAGGGCATAGCTCACCGATGGTTCTGTCATTTTCCAGGATGTATCTTTGCAGCCGTACGAGTTCCTCTTACTTGCTATGCAAATCGAATCGAATCGGAACGTTCTCCTCACTCTCCGCCCGTCGAAGGCCAAATGATGCAATCAGTGCGTGTGCGGGCGGCTTTTAAGACTGCCAGGTAGATGGATCGCTGGCTCCAGGTAGGAGGAACTGCAGGGCCGCTAGCTGTCTTAGGTATGCAAAAATCGTGAATTTATTGAACTAACCACCGGTGTAACTGAAGAGCTCAATTAGCTGGTTGGCAGGGTATCGGGAAATGGGCTGCCGGAGAGCTATGGGCTGGATGTGTACCTGCTCTTACCTAGGGGTAATCTCGTGCTGCAACTTGAACTGATTACATTTTCCGACTCAGATGCTGCTGTTGTTTTTACCAGTGAGTACCACTAGTGTCATTTGCCAGCAGGCAGTAGCCGGCAGTCGCGGAGCAAAACTCTCCAGGTTCAATGCAAATGCGCTTTGCATGTTGCCGCTAATTGGCAACGGTTGTCGATGCCACTATTCTCCAGGCGGCACATTCGATTTCCTCTATTCTGCACTCGGAGAAATAGAAATGATGTAATATTAGATAAAATACTGTATATCCCTTAAAGTCTTTACTTAAAATCAATCTTAAAGCTTGATTGGTAAATGGTTACATTATATAATATATGAATATGGCCTTATCTTATTCTTTCATAAGAAATCCAAAATTGTGAGCTTGTCAAGATGCCCAAAAATCAGTCATGACTTATAACATTAATCACCATTCTAAACATACCCACTCAACCAATTTGTTCTCATTTCAGAGAGCAGATCTTGCCATTAAACCTTTTTGTACTAGTGTAGACTCAAAGTTCTGTTTTTCACCTCGACGTGGCCTGCATGATTAATGAATGCCGTTATGCTTTTACGGCTCGGATCGTATCGGACCAAAGCGGATCGGGACAGCTGGCAGCGGCCCTGCAGAGCGGTACGCGTTTAGTGTCCATACCATGTGTGTAATTCGAGCGCATGCGTCGCTGCCTCTGCCTCGCAAAGGTGTTGCATAAGTCGCTGCCATAAAACTGAACCGGCATAAAAACAATAAAACACCAGCAAATTAGAAATTACCTTTATGTGCAATAGCAGACAACACAGTACACAGCGCAACAAAAAATAAAATTAGAGAAGCAAGAAAAAATGGTAACAAATTTACACACAATGGGCAGTTAGCCTGGCCAAGGGAGGCGTTGGGCGGGGCGTAGTTGGGGCAATGTCTTATGGCGGTGCGTGGCATTACATCAGAGATATACATAGATATATCTCATTAACCCCGGCTTAATCGGAACTGTATTTTCCAAGGCAGTGCGGAAATGAGCACGCGTGTATCTGAAGATACAAATGTATCTGGAGAGGGATTTCCTTTTATTTTCAGTCGGGAATGAGCTGCTGCAGCTGCCACTAATTAACCTTCATGGCTCGCAAGGAGTGTGAAATGTTCTCGATTTTTCATCGCAACTTGTCCGGCGTGGAAAACTTTGTAGCCCAGCTCAGTTGCATTACAATGTTATCCAAATGACAATACGCAAAATATTTCCACTCATTTTCCGCACCGTCCGGGCTCCGCTCCTTGCTGAAACTTTTCTGGGCGGAGGATACAAATTTCACCAACTGGCAGCAACTACATGTTACAACAAAAAACAGAATTTTATGTATTTTTGGACACAGGGAAAAATAAGCAAAAAGTGCATCAAAAATATAACAAAACAGGGAAAACAAAAAATGTTTTCCACATCAAAATGCACATAAATAATAAATGGAACTAGCCAAACGGCCGGAGAGAACAGGACAAGAGGACCTCCGGACGGACACGGCTCGGAACCAGAAACAAAAGCGAATCGAGAACTGAAAACTCAGAACTGAGAGAACGGAAAATGTTGGTCACCATCAGCTTTTGTTATTCGGACATTGGACTTTTCTCTGGCAACTGTTAATAATGAAAGCGCTCGCAAAAATTATGAAATTAATTTTCAAATTTTAATTATGCAGTAGTGCTGGGGCAGTGGCAGTTGCAAGCAACTTCCAGCTCCTCAAAATGTAAATTGACCCGCCACCCCCGCACCGCACCCCACCATCACACACACACAAGGCTTACAGAATACGGGATGCTGAAAGTTTCCATTACCGCTCATGGTTCTCTTGTGATGGCACCACCCAACCACTAACCACCTCCCAGCATTGGATTAGCATTGACGATGCAGCTGCACTGAACCGGCCAGAGCACCACCGAACGACCCACCATCATTTCAATTGGGGCCAGGGCACACGCATCCGTGGCCGGGTGTTCGGCTTTGATTAGAGTTAAGCCCCAAATTAGTTGCCACTGCCGCTGGGTCATTTGACGGGATGACCTTTAGGCCTCCATATTAATGCTTCCTCTGTCAGCCACTGAGTGTGCTGGCCATGGGAACTGCTGCGGGTTCTTTGATGAAGTCATCGAGTTGGTACAGGAAGCTTGCAACTACCGGTGCCGTTTTATATTGTACATTGAAATCTTAAAGTTATATTTCCTTGTATTATATAAGGTATCTTAAAGAATAAGATACTCCAAAAAGTTACAGGACAGATAAATATTATTTGTTTGGTTTATAAAGAAATGTATAGTGTGAATATGAGGAGTAATTGCTTTAATTAGTGTAGTTCTTTTTTAACAACCTATTTCATTTTTAAATAAAAAACTGTAAAAACTTTTAATGTCAAAAATTGTTACAAAGTACAAGCCAACCCACATTCTCAATGAAAACACTTCATACACCACCAGAACAGTAACCTTAAAATAAATTTGTAAAGGCATCCGACTGTCGGATGTGGCTAATCCAGCTCAAGGGGACTTTGGGCCAGGTTTGGCATATCGTTAGGACCAGCAGACAAACACTGGCACTCCATCCCGTACACCATATGCTGTAAACAATCCGAGTGTTAATCGTTTTGATTCCACGGCAGCTGACAGCCGGACAAGGCCGAGAACAATAACGAGTTGGGACGAGCGGAGGAAGAGAGCTAGAGCAGCGCTTCCGAAACTTAGTTGATGCCAACTTATTAGCGAACACCGTTTAATGGGTCCAATTAATGTCAACCAAGTTGGCCGGCCGGGCTGGCTGATGGCTTTCTGGGCGATTTTCAGTGGGTGCCTTTGGGCCAAGTGAAATTTACTTGAAACGAAAGTTTTGCTGGCCATTGATTGGCTCGGTCCGTTGCACGCGAACAAAAACCCAAGACCAAGTCGAAAACTTTTTCGGATTGAACATTTGTAGAAATGCATAAAAATTAATTAACAAGCAGATGCCGCACTGCTCGGTTTTAGCTGAAATTATTATTGGCCACGAGGAGCAAGGGAAGCCAGGGGCGCATCGCCTGAAAAGCTGGGCAAAAATTAAAGCAAAGGCATAAGAATTTTTAATTGGCTTTTCTGCTTCATCTTCTCGCTGCTTTGTTGCCATTATTCCTGTTGTATTTGTTGTGTTTCCTACTCAATGCCGGCCTCGTCATCGTCGACTTCTCGCACATTTAAGCCTAATTAACTTTCTACTTAGAGCTCAGTTTTCATCTTCTCGATGCTGCATAGACTCGATTTACACTGCGGGAAAAATGTGCTACACCTCCGGTGTGGGGAATACCATTTGGTTTAGACCATACTTTTGTTTTAAGCGGCTGGTCTTAGGGGCTTTGTTAAACCCCTTCTTCAACCCCATCGTTGAATGGCAACAAACTCTTTTTTTTTAAGTTCCTTAGATCGTTGGCACTTTCCAAGTTCATCCTATTTTCTTTTGAATCGAGTTCTCTCCTTGGATTTGGTTGTTTGTGCATTTTGCATTGTTGGCTTTTTGTTTTTAGCCTTATTGTTTGGCCCGCCTTTGGAGCTGCCTTGGCTGCCGCCTTTCGCACTGCGTCAACTTCTAATTTCAGTTGGAGGCTTCACTGTCCGCAGTCCGCCGTTCGCTGCGAAGACGATGATGATGCCAGGGCCAAGCGCAGAATTTCTGCTGCTCCGAGGTGGCTAACAAGGTGAAAAGTAGGTGAATGTTAAGCAGTCGACGGCACCAGCAGCACCACCAGCAACAACAATGTTGAGAAAACAAAAGAAAAATGGCAACAACACTAACAATGACAAAGAGTAAACAACATTTAGCGAAAGAGTGTTGGAGAGAAAAAAACAACAACAGCGCACACATCATACCAACAAAGCCAAGACAAAACGTGCCAAAAAGGGTTAGAGCCAAAAACAAAAGACAAACAAACAAACATATTAACGTAAAATGTTGTTGGACCGCGCCGATGTTGCTGCTGTTGTTGATGGCTCCGATAAGTTGCTGCTCGCTGCTGCTCCGGGAACTTGGTCGGAGCGGCACTTCTGGGAGCCGGGCCTGGAGTCTTCTGCCTCCTCGCACTATATTTCGAAGGCCCTCACCGGAAGTGCACATTAAGCGTTTTTAATTTCCAGCTTCGCACAACTCGCAAACTGTTTTCCAAGCAGCCGGGCGGTAGCCGAGAAAAGCGAAAGGCGCGGGTGTGGCTGGAAAGTGTGGCTGCTGTCTTGGCCTCGCACAAATCATTTTGACTCATTCTGAAGCTGTCAACAAAGAAAAAAGAACAGTGGGAAGAGATGTTCAGCTTGAGACAAGTTTTTAAGACTATGGAAAAAAAGAAATTTCAAGCGAGTGCTATAGCAAAGTCTTGTGATTTAATCAATGATATTAAACATCCTCCAAGGACAACCCCACTCGCTTCCTGATCTTGAAATAGCCAAAGGATTATAATTTCCATCCCCCATCGCGTGAAGTTGTTATGCTTTTCATTTTCAGATTCATACCAAGTCACTGGCTTGTTCCCCTCCATTTCTTTGACTGCCGAAGAAAACACAATGGATGGCGCGATATGGAAAATGCACGTAAATGAATGCAGTTACTACGATATACCCGTACATATACATTATTTTTTGTTAAAAGCATGTATGGGAGTTCACATGTTATCCAGTTGTTGCTTCTTTTCATGCACATTGTATGTTTCCATGCGAACGATGAGCTTACATTTTATTT